TACTAGCATAAAAATACGGCTTGAAAAACAAGTTTATTACTTTTTAAGGTGTACTCTGTTGAAATAAAAAATAAATTATTTAGAGCTATCATTGTAAAACAGTTCTGTGTAGTAACACTCTTATTAAGGCCCTTGAGACAGAAAATCTATTTTTACAGGTAGGATTCCTGGCAGGCATGATCTGTAATGACATGCTCGCTCTTGTGGGAGTTAACTTACTGCGGAGAAGGAAATACCTAAAAGCATCAGCCTAAATTTAACCCTTTTTGCTCTGTCAGACTCAGCTGGGTACCTCTGGCTGACCACACCAGTTGCTGACGCAAACACATTTAATGGTTCAACCCAGACAGGAATTATTCTCCAGGAACAACACAGATGTTTTTGCAGAACACAAACAGAATTCATACATACACGGTGACCTTAGCAGGTAAGTATTGCTGACACGTTCTACGGGCACTGCTGTAAAACTGATGGACTTCAATCACTGAGTTTTCAGTTGAAGTTAAAAGCTGGTGAGTTTAAGCAAGCATTAAAACATGAAATTAATATATCATGTTAAAAAAAAAAAAAAAGCCTAAGCCAACCCAAAGCAATTGCAAGAACATAAAATGAAACCTATTTCTTGGACGACATGAGATGGATACAGAATTTATTAGCGGATATACCTCATATTCTCTAACTAGAAACTATACACATCCCTTTTCACGCTCCTCTGGATCCCCTGCCTGAATCACGCCACTGGAGAGGGATGCTGCAAAGTGTGTAGCTGTACGAACCTGTGCTTTTATACCTAGCTGCCCATTCCTAATACACCAGGGAAATAACAGTTGGTAATTCCTGGACCTGAAATCTGTCTATTTCCCTTAACAAAAAAAACCAAAACCCAAAAGGTCTGAATTCCTAGAGCTGCAAAGAGTGGGCATTTACAGGATGCTACTCCTAGGCCGTGTTCCCTCGCTGCTCCATCAGTGCCTATCCCACGTCATTCTGGTCACCCCTGGTCTTCACACCCTCTGCAGACACCACCGCTGACATGGCAAAAGGTCACGGCGCTGCAGAACGCTGCTCCATTTCCCTGCCCCATCGTCCTGGCTGTGCGCTTTTACTGAGAACTCGGAAGCCCGGCTGGCTTTCCAGTTTGGGAAGAATCATCCTAGAAGAGTACTGAGTCATGTGGCCAGCAAGGACTGAGGTGCCAGGACGGGGCAACTTTTCTCTTTCAGCCTTAGGAATACCCAACTATTACTCCTACAGGTTATTAAATCGTTCCTGCGCTACTTCGGCTGTTTCCAAATGAGAGCAGCAGTTCCTTGCAATGGCGTTAGACACAGCCTGATGCATTTGCTGAAAGTATGAGCCAAAACCTACAACATCTGTGATGCTCGTCATCAGACATCGTGCTATTTGCTTCTTCTCTCGCTGCTGCAGAAACCCACTGGCTCCTAGTCTTAAACCCAGTGCCATCAGGCCCAGTTAGGGCTCTCGCTCCAAAACAGACAGATCTTTCGGCTGCCACGTGGTTCGGTGCCACTTGCATTTTATCAGATTGGACAAAATAGAAGCTGGCATTTTCTCATATTGTCAGCTTGAGGCAGCTTAAAATTTCTCTAGAAAGCTGCTTGGTAACAAACTAGGAGAGACAGCTGCCTGCAGAACTTGGGAGGCAAAATAACGTTTTGTTCTGCAGCTAATCAATTTTAGTCTTGCAGCATTGCGAGTCTGCAACCTTCACCCCCTTTTTGGGTCAACAGGCAGCTTCTCCTTTGTAGCAGGAGTTAGAGGCGTACACTTTGTACTTTAGGGCAGAAACTGAAATAGTAGAGAAACAGCCAGCCTAGCAACAAGCCGTGAGGACGATATTGCTAGGTCAGATTCTTTTAGGACTGCAACTTTTTCCTACAAGCATTCTACAAGCTTAAGAAATAAATAGAAGAAGGTACGTTATTAGACTGCTACATTACTGAAGATCTCACTGAAACATATCAGTCTTGGGCCAGGTATTATTTCCCCTCTAAAAATCAGGGCTGAAATGTTGTCCCTATTGCATTTCTCTGCAGAAAGCAAAGCGGATGCCTCGGAGTCTTCAGCATCAAACACTACAGCTCAGCCAGATTACCAGAAAGCTGGGCAGCTTCAGTGAAATGTGTTTCCCAAATTAATGCTAGACTAATGCTACCAGAATGACATACCTGCTCCTGCCTCGTTCTAGACAATGTACTCCCACGGCCACTTGCTCTCCCATCTCGGTCACAGGACACGCGTGCATACGATTTGCACTGCGTAATAAGTGAGCAACGCACACGCCCATCTGACAAGGCTACTTTTGGGAACAAATTTCCCCAGACGTAGCTGTGTAATTACAGTACATTGCAAAGGGGAGATGCAGATCACACAAAAATACTCAACAAAAAGGGGTTTGCAAAGGTTTCTTGTAAGAGAGCGCTACTCCCAAGACAGATTAATACAAACTTGATAGACTGCCTACAGCTGTGATGCAGGAAGGAAGAAGAAGGAACTTAAAGGCACAGTTTGAGGAAGAAAGTATCAGGGGTCAGCAATGACCCAGAGCTGGAAGACGGTTTGGAAAGTATGGAAAAGAAGTCACTACTGAGCAAATGCAGAGCACAACCCCAGGGGTGTCAGACAGTGCTGACTTGACTGTGGTACCCCAAGAACAAGACAGGGATGCTCCTTGGCCGGTACTACCAAGTCACATTCGAGTGGCCACAGAAGCTTTGATCTGAAAGAACTAAGCATTAAATATAACTCCCAACTCGCTGCAGATAAGTCTTCTCTAGATGTAAACTAACAGCCAAAGCCTTGCTAGGAGAGATTCATACACATTTCTCTTACTCATCCTACAGCGCAGGAAATGTGATCTCTGTATTTATGCATAGTTAGTGACGTAACACACTTGTGTGATGAGGTTTAACTGAAGTATCATGACAGAACAATCAAGCAGAACAGTTAACATACTGCGCTCTGTCACAAGCTGTGTTTGCCCACAGAGGTGTGGTTAATTCATTTCCAAAGAGCAAACAAACTTGACAAGAGACACTGAATTTGGGTCCTCAGTATTGCCAGTCCTTCATGGTCAAGGCAACGTGGGTCACTTTCATGAGGTCAAGAAATTGGCTTAGAAACACCTACATTTTTAATGTAGTACAATTTTAGACATTCAGAAATTAAGGCCAGAAAAGATAATCGGCTCATCAAGCTCTGACCTTCTCCATATCACGGGCTGTACAGTTCCAGCCAGGTACCCCCACAGCCACCTCATTAACTCATTTGTAGTTGCAGCCCGAACTGTTTGCTAAAGACATCCCACACCGAGGCAGCACCCTCTCCAGGTTTTGTCTTGTTTTGAGGTCAACTTGTCCAATTTCTAATTTCCCTAACATGTTTGAATGGTGAATCACACTCACTGTTATTAGTATATTTCTGTAAGTCAAAATTTCAATTGTTGTTGCAATAATTTTATTTACTTTGAGAGTTTGGGGGCTAGAAATGTACACCAAAAAGTGAAGGTGAAGATTCACACACTACTACTTGACTCTAGAATCTGGGGCTTTTAAAAAAAACCAAACCAACAAACTCTCAGACTGAATATTGTGGCATTTGATGAAATCATGAGAACTGACAATACCGTGGCCATTTATTGTTAATCTTTTACAGTTTGTGAATGTCATTATCTTCCACGAGAAGGTCACTTTATAATTATATACGCATTCATATACAGCCTGTAAATGTGCTTCTATGAAATGCAACTGAAAGTAACTGGAGATGAAAGCTTAGTCAAAATTCCTTAAGAAAAAACTGGTGTGCATGGAACTTCAAAAAAAACCCCAAAACTCTTTAAAGTACCCAGAGAAAGGAAAATTTTAGTGGAAATGGAAGATTTTTTAACACAAACGTGCAGAAAGCATCTTTTGTTGGAACTAGACCGGCTAAGCTTGTGGCTGAAATACTGAATTTGAATGAGAGTTAAAATACAGAAACCCCCTAGGAAAAAGGGAATTTTGCATACAGAAGTCTACTTTGCTGGGCCTGGACACCCTTCGGTTTAGCCCTTTCCTCCGAGCATTAACCTGACTGGTCCTGAGGGAGTGCGGAGCATGAATTCAGGGCGCCGCTGCACGGTGCATAAAGTGGGGATTGGATAGAAAGTTTTTTTTTTTAAAAAAAAAAGTATTTACAGGTCTGTAAATTCTCAAAACAGAAAATAAAAAACTGCATTAGAACTGGGGTAAAAAAGAAAGAATCCTACCTTGAAAAACTGCAGATTCCCTCTGTCTGTTTGATGGGAAGCCTGACTGTGTGCAAATACAAGGAAACGTGCTCGCTGCTCCAAGTTTTGACCTTGTTCGAAAAGACTGACAATTTTTTGCCAGAGTCCTACTGAAAGCAGGTACAGGATCCAGCAAGAGCCAATTTTCTTGCTAAAATGTTTGCTATCGAGTTTGCATTCAGTTAAAGAACAGCTAGAGAAGAGAGGAATAAAACCAGCCGATGAGTTTTCTTACAGAATTCATTTCACTACTATTTCACTCCACTCGTATCAGTCAGCCTGGTATATACAGCTGCTGTCTAGTGTAACCCACTGCTCATCTCTCGCTCTCACCCACAACACACATGCACTCACGCTCCCCTCTTCCTCCTCCAAAGACTGCAGTGCTTTCAACAAGAGAAAAAAAACCCAACAATAATAAAAATAGCAATAATTAAAAAAATCTACAGTATTCACTTCCTTTTGGTATATTACATCGGCATTTTCTGTACATGACCCAAGAGCTCCCTCTATTTACACAGTGATACGGAAGGACTTGTTCTCGGGAGCCCGGTTCTCCTGGCCTTGAGTGGGGAATTAAAGCCCACCTTTCAGAGTTCTTTTGTTTGTTTGTTTTTTGTTTTTTTCCTCCATTTTATTAGCAGCATTATGTAAACCTGTAAGGGGAAAAAAAAACCTTCTCCTGGGGAGATGGCCAGCAGCATCTGCCCCGTCAGCAGCTGCTGTTTTTGAATTCACCATTCTCCGTGATGGAAAGCTTGGTGGGGTTGGTGGGGGAGATGCCATTGCGGACTTGCATGCTGTAGCGTTCCTTCACTTGCGTCAGGGCACTCATCAGCCGCGTGTTGGCAGAGTCCAGGGACACGATCCGCTTCTCCTGCAACAAACACCCCACAAAAGTCAGAGCTCCTTCACAAATGAAATGCCTTTGCCCCACAAGCCTGCTTTATGGGGAACTTCCAGAACCTGGGGCTGTGACAGCATCTTCAGATGATTTCTAGGCAGAGGCAGCTTGGCTAACATTCTCTGGTAAGATGGGATGCCTGCCTCTTTCTGTTTTCTTGGGGTAACATGGTCCCCTGCCTTTTCACAAGCTGGCCTGGCCCTTCTGGCCTTTTTGCGTGATGGCAGGTGACAGTGAGTCAAAGTTACGTTGGCGAATTGATCCAGTCACAGGGGCTTTATCCAGGCAGCCTCCAACCGAGGCAGCTGGAAATGCAGTATTTTGCCATGGGAGGGAGGGTGGAAGGGTGTTGGTGTTAATAACAACAATAGCCAATTAATTTTTTTTTTTTAAAAATATGTTAGAAAAACAGAAACAGGCAGTAGAAAATAAAAGTGGTGGAGGTTTCATCTGGCAGAGAAAAGTGCAAGTGGTATCTAATGGCCATCGTCTCTGTATTTTGGATGGAGTGTGCTCAGAATAAACTCATGGTATGCTTGAAATAAATAAATTAAAAAAAAAAAAAAAAGCAGATAATGGCAGCCTGCAGTCACCAGCAGGAGTGAGGGTGCAATAGCAACATAGAGAAGGAGCAGCCAAAAGCTAAAAACTAAGGGGTTATTTGAGGTGAAGGGGAAGAGGGCAGTGTGTGTGGGGGGGGAGATGCCATCGACAGAACACAAAGAACAAACACTGAACACACTGCTCCTAGACCCATTCCAGCTCAGAGGGGCTCCCAGGCTCTGCCAAATCCAGGGTTCCCACATCCCCATTTTGATTCTTCTTGCACAGACAGTGCTAGCCTCCACTTTTAGGAGAAAGCTAAAGGATGTGTACTAAATTTATGGAAAAAAAAAATAAAAACCCCATCCACAAAACCCAGCCTACTAACAGCTAGATTATCTGCAGTGGGATAAGGCACTGGAGGGTCAAGCCAAAGAGTTGGTGGCACAATGAGGAATGACAATTTTCACCTTCCCTCAAAAAAAAGAAATAAAAAATGATGCAGCCACATAAAGCAGCAACAGAGACGGCAAAAGGTAAATATGCTCTCCATGCTACCAACTGATTGGCTTTTTTTTTCTGTGAAAAGGAAAAAAATGTCTCATTTACTTGACTGAAAAAAGCTGCATGCAGGAACTCTTCCTAGTCCAGCCCGTTGAGCAACAAAACGGAAGGAAAACTGATGCACAGAAGGCACAAACATTAAGGGATAGTTCAGACGTACTGCTCAGCAGACCTAAGTGCTACGACAGCCCCTTGAGATTTTGATCCCAGCACATCAGCTGGTTAGTACATCAGTAATCAAGTCATGTTTGCTTTTCGCAGTGGGCTTCCCCACAGGGGTAAGTGTTAGGGTGCAAAAACAAAGCCGAATTTAAGTACTGCTTGTATTACAGCACTGAAGAGACCAAGCTCTGTACGGCAGAGCAAATGGAGGAGGAGGCACGAGAAATCACACAAACGGCAAGGCAGGCTGTAGCCTGCCCTAGCACTTGCCCTGATCCAGTCAACGTAAGCGAGGCGAACAGACAATGGAGGCGTTCAAGGCCTTAGCCTTGCCTCCCATGCTGAAATAAATCCTGCAAGAAACAACTGCTTTAGCAGAAATGTGTTCTTCAGCAACTTAAAGCCCCTCCTCCTTGGACTACATTTCATCCGGAATATATATAATTTAAAATTAAAATTTCTTTCCAGAGAATATAGCTTTCCAAAGGGTTAAAAAATGAAAGGCTGGTTATCTTCTGGCACTGATGAGTGCTCACTACGCCAGTTTGCAAAACAGCTGGAAATCTACACTTGGAAAAATCAATCTTAAAAGCATGAGCTTCTCACTGAGGGGCAAATAACAAGCTAACAAACAGGTCTGTAACACATGTGATGGGGCAGAGGGAGTGGGAGGAGCTGGAATGGGTAGGAGGTCAGTGCACTGGGCCGGGACCGGGTACTGCTCAGCTAGAGAACTGATTGGGTTTACTTGCCTGTTTGAATTATCTCATCCCCATTTATGACCTGTAATTTAACACAGCGGAGATGTCACTTGCAATAGCAACTGGGCTAGTACTCTTTGCAGCTCCGCTGATCCAAGGAGAGAGCCGAGGCAGACCTGCTCGGTCAGGGAGGACCGGAGCCAACCCCTGGAACCACAGCGCGCACCAGGCGCTGCCCTGAGCCGGTGCCCACAGCACGGACACCAAGAACAAGGCTGTCCTTGCGCATCCGTGCGGTATTGGGTGCTGCACCTGACCGCAAGACAAAAGAGCAAATCCTGAAAAGCCCCTTGTGCCGACGTAACTAAGGACAAGAAGCCCGGGTTACTGCTGTTTCCTAGCAGCCATTTCACTCTTCAAAGAGGTGTGGTAAGAAGCCAGGTTCTAACTCCACTCCATAAATCTCACATAAAAAAGACCTTTTCTTTTCTGGCCACTGCTATATCCCTTTACCAAATCAATCACAGACTAAGAAAAATCGTCCCAGCGCAACTTAGAGGGATGGCTACAGAACCCAGCAAACACTTGGGCTCCTCTGGTGTGTCTGTTCCGAATCTTTCATCAGTCTCCTCTTCTGCTCGGGTAGCCATGAAAGGGCAATGACAACCAAGCTTCCCCCATGAACTGGCTGACAGTGAAGGAATCAAGGTTTGCTGATGACCTTGTCTGCCCAAGTAGCTAACGGCACTTCGGAAGGAAAAAAAAAAAGGGTCAGATTAAAAGAGGAATCCATCATTAATGCTACTGTTCTGCTAGTGTTTTTTCAACAATTTCCACTGCAGGTGATAAATGATGCATCATTTGATCAAGTGTGACCAAGGACCACACCTTTCCAGCCCTGAGGATTTAAAGCTTTCAGGAGTCAGCAGCAGTCCCCTCTGCCAGCTGGTGACATTCAGGGATCAGACTGAGCCTCTCTCTGCCTTGCCAGTCCATAACCTCACACCAAGGCTGAGCACCCACTGGTATAGACAGGGAACAGAGGGAAGGGCAAGTTTCTTATTCAGTCACAATCTCTCGCATCCTCCCCTCTAAAAAAATCACTCGTTACCAGTTTCCTCAGTGCCCCTTTCACCTTCTTGAGGCAGATGAAAAAGGCATCACCTTCTTCAAAAACCAGGCTGCTGTTTGGATGAGCTGCCATTCCATCGGTGTGTAACTGACGGAAGATGCCCTGACCTTGCCTATCCCCCAAAAATGGCCCAGCACGTTCAAATTCTACTCCAGCTTCCACTTGCCATACTCCTTGCTCAGATTAGAGGCTGCTATACTGTTCCCCCACCACCAATAAAAAAAAAAAAAAAATACAGTGACTGACTACATTCCCGTTCCTTCTCCAGCACTGCACTCTCCCACTTTGCATTTTGAGTGCAAGTCCTCACAGAAAGGATTTAATCTTGAGCTGCATCTAGAATGGGTGACTACACTGCTGTCTCCATGTACAGCATCTTGCACAATAGCTAGGAACTATATATAGCGTAATTCCAGTAGGATTTTCTTTTTATTCTTCAAGGCTAGGTAATAGAAGTGCCACGTTATTGTACACAAGCGATTTATTCAGATTAGATGGCACAGATTCAAAAATCCAGCTTTCCTGAACAGTCTTTCTGAAGAACTGTGGGAAAAGGGGCAGGAAAACCAGAACTTTTCAAATTAGCAAAAAGAAATCTGCTATAAATAAGCTCATAGTGTTACCAGACTTTTAAAAACACAGC